TGCTCATTCGCACATAAAGTATTGTTACATGCCATGGAAATAGACGACGTCACCAAGCGACTTCCGCTCTGCAGCCAGGCAAAAGAGATTACCTTGTGGATGTTTAAGCCAAGTTACAACTATTACCTCCTTCAGCCCCTCGAAACTCTCGATCAACGTTTCGTCCTTGTTCACCCACGAAATCTTCGAGTTTAGGCCTTCTGTGCTACAACATATAACACATCTAGATGTTATCGCACTTGATGGTCGCTTTTGGGAAGTGGAATGGAAGAACTTTCGGTTTTTGACACAGCTTTCCCATCTTGCTATTAGGGTTCTTCAGAGTAGGCGATTTGAACCTGATTTGAGGTTGATTTGAAAGTTGATTTCGATTTTGTTTGAGTTCGGCGCGGGCTCGGCAAACCCGTCGGGAGTTGAATATCTCGTCCCTTATGTACGGTCTGAGAGCCTCACTCTCCGCATGTCAGGGTTTGGAATTCTTCTCAATTGCATTATTTTACCTTTCTCCTCCTACGTACCATGCCAGTCTTATATATTTCCTGTCACTGAATACTTCCGCTGTAATTATTAAATTTTCTGGCACAATTTAATGGTGTCAATGTCATTTTTCACTGATGTGAATATCTCCCTGCCTCTATTTAAATTAACATTCGCATACCAGTAGGGCCTATACAAAATTTAAACCCTCTTAATATATATATCTCACTCTTTTCCTCACTACAAATACTATGTATACCGGCCGTTGAAGTTTGTTCATTACCTTCATTACTTGCATCTCAGAAGGATAAGATTTTTTTGTCAATAAATCAAGCAGCATGACTCTTACTTCACTGGCTGGAAAAATTGTGCTTTCTGAGAAAGACAAGTAGAGCAATGAGCGGGTGAGCATAGCGCAGTTTGATGGGATTTCAGAAAGGCTTGGCATTTGGATTTCAGTGATTTGGGTTGGTACGGTCAAAGTTAAAGTCGATTTCGGGTTTTTCCGATGTCCACCGAGCCCGCGCCAAACTCAAACAAAATCGAAATCAACTTTCAAATCAACCTCAAATCAGGTTCAAATCGCCTACTCTGAAGAACCCTATTGTCGGAGGCATTTTGGGGTAGTCAACTGCGTTTAAGGCCCTGGAAATTCCTTGTCGTCCTTACAGACATCACACCGAAGCTGGATTGCCGATATAATGATGACCCTCGCTTTGTCCAGATGCGTCTCCTACCATTTCCAATCGAACGCTGGATGTTAGGCGCACGCAGCGGGAAGGACATATGGTCTGTTTTGGAGAGGTTGAAACAAAATTCGGCGACGTTAACAAGAGAAGATCTAGACAAGGAGTTTCCTTATTATGAATTCTAACGATTCCTTGTAAGATACTTGGGCCAAGCATTGAAATGAGCGATCAAACTTGAATCAAACTGTAAACAGCGAAGTTATCGTTCGGACGCGTCGTGACAGGGACCCGTGGCTCCTCTCACGTGTTGGACGCGACAGAGCTTGCGATGCGGCGTTTGCATCCTCGATTCCTCACACTCGGCTACCATGGTAGATAACCCACGATTTCCTCCAGAACTTGAGCGTGAAATATTTGAGCTACTTGCTTGGAACAACGTTGATACTGAAGCAAGAAATCTCCTTGTTGTTGCCAAGCGGGTGCACAAATGGTAAGAATCTAATCGCGAAGTTGAAGTCATGGGCGTTATTGAACTCCTTTCAGGATAGAACCTTTAATTTACAGGGTGATATTCTACTATCGTTTTCCTAGAAGATCTGCTCCTCCACCCCTTCCGGCCTTGAAAGAGCTCTGCTTAACCCATCACATCACACCCCGGATAGTCAAGTTATGTTCATACGCCCATAAAGTGCTGCTACATAGCATGTCAGTGGACGATGTGGCCAAGCTTCTTCCGCTTTGTAGTGAGGCAAAGGAAGTCGCTTTATGGTTACTAAATCGCGACCAAAACTATCACGTTCTTCAGCCACTCCTTCCAAAATCAGTCCAACGCCTTTCGGTCAATTTATCTCACCTGTTCAATAACAAAGCCTTTGAATTCAAGCCTGCTGTATTACGAAATATAACGCATCTAGATGTTATCGCCCTCAGTGAAGATTTTTGGAAGTCGGAATGGAAGAACTTCCGCCGTTTGACAAACCTCACTCATCTGGCCATCGACCCACCCCCGGCAACGCGGGGCACCATTGTCGGAGGTATCTTGGAGGATACAATTGCTTTTAAAAACCTTCACATACTTCTCGTCCTCTCAACAGACGCCAAACCAACAGTGGATTCGCCCAGTGTTTATGCCAATGATCCTCGTTATGTGCAGATGGCCACCTTGACATATCCGATCGAACACTGGATTTTGGGTGCGCGCAACGGGAAAGACATATGGCATACTGCGGAAAAGTTGAAGCAGGGTTTGTTAACAATAGACGACTTGGCAAAGGAGGTTCCTTATTTTTGATTGCCATAAAAAACGAAATTTGATTTTATCCATGATACTTGGTTCAGGAACAGGACACGGATCAGAATCTGTTGAGGAACTGGCTTGTTAGTATTTTGCCCAATATACAATCCTCTTGTTCCGCAGTCACTATGTTTCTTTGCCAACTGAGTTGACCGCCCGTCCACGAATGACAGAGCGTTCTGAGTAACCTAAAGAGAATGTGACCCTGAAAGTTCCAAATTTAGTTTGACAAGGCTCCAGCTAACTTTGTTTACAACCACCATGGCCGTAGCAGACGATACGCCAAACGGTCCATCTCCTCCTGGGTTACCTGACATTCCGGAGTCTGCGATAACTGATCCACCCCCACCGTATCCTACGCCTCATCGTCAACGACAGTCTCGCTCGAATCGACCCCATGCTCGGGTTCAACCTACACAGCTGGTGACACAGCACTCTCAGCAGCTGTCGAATGAATCGCAATCCGATTATGAGACACCTCTTTCACCATATACAGTCTCTAGTGGCCTTACAGATGAAGACGACGGAGTACCTGTAGGTGCAGGACCTGGAGGAGGAGCAGAGGAGTCGGCCGTGGAGACTTCTCCATTTTTGTCTCCAAACAGCAATAGGCGCGCCGGCCGTGCACGATCGTTCTCTATGAGCAGCACGGCTTCGGCTGCTGAGTCGATGGCACACACAGTTTTGTCTCTCTTCCAACCGGAAGATGATATGTGTTATGGGGACGGTCACATCCAACTCGACCCGGATGACCATATGCCAATTCTCTCGTCAGGGAGGCCCGGAGGCCTTTTCTCTGCCATTACTTGGAAGCGGTATTTCCGACCGATGAGAATGAGGGCATTTTACAGACCGTTGATGCACTTGACGGTGATAAATTTCCCGTACGCACTGGCTGCGTGGATCTATCTCTTTGTCTTCACGGTGGTAGGTTTCACAATTGCCCTACACGCTAAGCACTTTATTAATCCATTCTATTAGTCAGGGACTACGCTACTCGTTGCTCTACCTATCGGGGCCGTGCTTTGCTTCTTCAATCTTCTCGGAGCTCGTGCCTTCTCCCGAGGCGAACTCTACCTTCAGACCCGATTCCACGCACCGCTGGCCCATCCACCACCGCACCCACCTCTTCCGATCTTCGCGCGATATCGCGAGCCCACGAATGAAGAACTTGAAAACGGGACTGTAGCCGGCCAGCTGAGGAGAGGAGGTCAGATAAGGGAGAAATCATTCTACAAAAATACGTATGCCATGGTACGTCATTTATGTCGATTGGTATGACCATCGAATCTGACATGCGACTGTAGTTTACGGATTCAAGGTCTTACCAAGCACTTTTCTACTTCCTTGTGATCAAACCAGCGATCACTTTGCTGATATCTATCGGTCTTGTTGTATTCGGCATTCCGTTGTTCGTTCTCGTCCTTCCAGCGCCTGCTGTGCTGCGAGCGACACGGAAAATTGGGATATGGCAGGCGAACGTTGCTGTTGAAGGGCTGTATTATGCTGTTCGGTGATAGACGCTTTGTAAAGTCGTTTTATGTTTGTATATTATCATAGGGCCGCAGCCCTGCGCATCAGCTCGTACACAGAGAACACTGAGTCGTTGACTTCTGCCTCGCGTCCCTCGTCTCGAACAGACAGCACTCTGGTTGTCCCCACCAATATTCCTTATACACCCGCTTTTTCTACCGTCTTTGCAAGTTCAACTAACTTCAGTAATGTGCGAAGTAATCTGCTCGATCTTCTGATATGGTTTCGAGCAGTAGCCATTTCTGACCAATAGAACACACTTACCTGGAACGGAGAGCGTATGCACACCGTAGAGCATTCTGGGACTTTCAGTTCCTACTTGCGCTACGCATAGTTTGCAGAAAAAGCTCAAAGCCAATTCGACGTTTACAGCAGACCATGTTACGTCAATCAAAAGTATACACAAGACTTGGTTAGATCTTGCCATAAAAAAGAGGATATATTGCTTATATTTGGCAAGGAACGCGTGTTAATGTCACAGCTAGTAGGACTGTAGGATTCAACCACTAGCAAAAGAATCAAAAGTCGGTGGGGAGAGGTGAAGTTGGAATCATGTGCGTATCTCGGGTGGGTCTTTATTCTCGAGCAGTATATTCATGACCATGAGAGTCGACCTGAAGCCATCTACGGTTGGATTGTTCGATGGTCACGAGTACTTTTTCTCAAACAAGCCAAGTGGCCGTCATACTAAGTGCAAGTCACCCCATAAGTGGAATGCAAACATAAGAATGCGGGCTTATCTGGAACGTGCATTAAATAATTTCTACTCATCTCGTTCAGCTTACGTGTTATTCAATGAAACGCAGCTCAACAACCTGTAAGAGCCTTCATGTAGTATAGTAGCAGCGATGTCTTTGTCGGCTCAATAGTTTACTGAGAACGTTAGAGTGCGATTAGAAGGGGCAATGCGGAAAAGATAATAACGATCGATCAATGTTTGCATTGGACCCACATCTCCAGCTGTCAAAAGGTTCAAATCTTCTCCCAGCAACGCAAAAAGTTGATTTTAGCAGCAACTCGTTTCGATCGAGTGACCTCAGGGTTTCCAACCGTAGAAACTTGGAGTTTCCGAGATATGGGCCCTGCGCGCTACCTCTGCGCCATGCTGCTGTGCTTAGAATAAAGAAAGAAAGGTAAAAGGAGGTATCTTTTTGTCGGATCAAGGGAGAACAAGGGGACAGGGGCGATAAATCGGGTGGGAAGGCATTTATTGATGGGAAAGTCGAGCTACCGTGTGTTTTTTTGGCACGATTCAAGAGAAGTGACACTCTGAAATTGATTGCATCATCATTGATAAACAGAATAAGAGAGCCAAGAGGCGTCGGATCGCTCGATTTGACATACCATTCTCACGCTGGGGGGTATGGGGGGTACTTCTAGATTTGGTTTAGTCCAGAATCACGGCCATCAGAACGGCGAGGGCTTTTCACAGCAGAGGCTGCAGCTCTATTTCACCTTGCAAGTGATAATCTATCACTGAGCCTTATCTCTAATTTGAATTCATGTACTCAGCTCTATACCAGTAATATTCATGTAAATTTTGAACGCTTGGTAGTATCAATTTTTACTTAATGCCAGGCACTCAAGATAAGCTGGTGGTAATGCACTAGTATGAGCTCAAGCACACTGCGTTTCCTTCGCGGCCTGCTTTGTTTATCAACAAAATTGACAGATTCCCTCAAATGAACTCATCACTTGTACTCACTGTCCGGAAAACTCTGTAGACTTTTCGGAACGGTTTGCGTCGAGGCGGCTCACTGAGAGTAGCCTACTGGATCATATTTTTGTATAAAATTTTCTCTATCTAATTTATCATTCTAAGAAGTAAATATGTACTTTCGACATGCATAATGTAGGATTTTATCCGGCTGTATTGGCTTTGGGTTGATACCTTTCAAAGAGCCGGGTGATGCGAGATGACAGTGCCGTGACATGCCAGACATGAGAATATTTCTACTGCTACCGAGATCCATATGCGAAATCGAGCGATCCGATGCCTCTTGAAGAGAGCTGAGGCCAGTGAGTTCAAATGTGGTCATTCAAATGGTCATGTCTATTATTGGACCTCTCCAGTGACTTTGATCAGAACCGTTAAGGCTTATCAGATTGCATTCAGGTACTACCTTTTGTATGTGTTGTGAATTTGCCTACCAGTAAAACATAGCCAATCACATTTTGATCCAGAGGCAAGCTCAACCAAAGGAACAGGAAGAAACAATGTGGTGACAGGCAGTACAATGCCAAAACAAGAAGGAAGACTATTTATTTCAACAATGGATACTTCCAATTTTAGAAATAAGAGATTGAAACATCTCCTCAACAAGAGGGCATTGTGATCATCTACTTGGGCCTAGCACCAGAGTCTGCTACTACCTCCACCACCCTGATTATCATTGCCTTGGTGAGTGCCATAAACATAGGTACCACTCCCTTCAGCATGACCATGCCCAATAATTCCTCCACCGACTTCACCTTGGGGATTTCCAGATGAAAATCTGGTGCTGGCATTTGCTAGTTGTCGGCGCATTAGGAGGTTCTCCTTTCAATTGTGTTGGCCTGTAAAAGACCTCAAATTCTGTCCCAATGAAAATGTAGCAGCTTGTTTGCGTGCTTCTTGTCCTCAAGTGCCGACTCGGCGTCCACAATGCGACGCCTTTCTTGCAAAACTTCTTTTTCTTTTTCAGCTGCTTCCATATGTTTTGCATAAATATTTGCGGTCATTTAGATCAACATCATTTTTGCCTGCATGAGCCAATCGGGATTAACGGCTAGAGGGACATTAAGCTCAGCATATATACAGCTATTTAGAATATTCGCCACTCACGAGCTGAGATGGAGGATTTGGCTTCGACTGCTATACTATTGTCAGTATATATGCACACTATTTGGGACAACAAGGCCTACCAGTGTTGTCAGGTGTATACAAATCATCGTCCAACAGCACCACTGTCGACCTTTTAGCTGGTTGGTCATTAGCAGATATTTTCCGTTTTCAGCAACAAGATCGTGCTTACTAAGAGCTCCTCTCTTGGACTTCTTAACAGGCGGAGGGTCTCCTTCATCGTCGGACCCAGGAATGGCTTTTCGAGCTCGACCTTTTTTTTGGCTTTTCAGGTACAACCTCTTCGACCTTTTTGTCCTCACTTTGGAGTGGGAGCTTCTTGGATTTAGCTAGAAAGGATTAGCATTGAATCAAGACAAACAAAACAAGAGCTCACTAGCTCTAGGTCTGTCTTTTTTGGGTGCAGGGGTAGCAATAATTTCGATGTCCATGTTGAGGATAAAGAAGCGTCAAAGCGCGTCGTTCGCGATTTTTTAAAGTTACGGTCACATGATTATTTCCTTAAAGGGTACAGTGCATAAAGTCGTCAAGCAGCTCTTCTTCTTTTACCTCAAATTCAATGTCCAACTCTGCTTCTGCGCACCAATCCATGATATCGTTGACAAGGTCCGTCAACTGCTTGCATATATTAGCAGAGTAGATACACAAAACAAGAGAAAACACTTGCCTCTGCGTTGGTCAAATCAAAAGTTGTGGGAGTCTCAATTTTGACGCCTTTGGAAGCAAGCTCGAAGATTCGTTTTTCATGAGCTTTTTGGGTATTCGCAACTTTATCGTTTCGGTTGAAATCTCGAAGGGTGGTTGTGTGCAAATCTGCATGTAGGTGCTTGCTTATCAATTCGCCGGTTGCTTTGGTGGCGAACCCTGCAGGTAGCACAAAGCACAACTTGGTGTGAGGGTGTTCGAGGGCGCATTCAACGAGTTTGTAGCTGTGCTCATTGTGTAGGTGGCTGATCATTTCCCCTGTGTTCATCCTGAAATGATCAGTCAAGGGACAACAAGTAAAAGACAACAGCATACTTTAACAGATGTTGACACTCCGAGAACCCACATTTGAGATCCAGGTTGTAATTAATCCCAGATACGCTGCTCTTCGAGAGCGTCTTCCAGTGAGAGGCCATGTGTTGGCCCAATCTAGACGTATCCCAAAAGAATCTGAGGAACGGATGAGAGAAATACTTGAAACAAGGAGGGAAACTACTTACTTGAATCTCGAGTCCTCTCCCGAGCGTTGAGAGATCTTTTTGGCCAACTGGCAAGGGGCAAAAAAACAGATTGGACAAAAGAAAAGCCGGCTATTCTTGCGAGAACAGTCAACTTTGGTCGCGATACTCAGCCTAAATGCGCCTTGGCCGACCAACGTCTCAGGGTCAATGAGAGCGCTGAGATAATGTTCAAATCTTGCCACAAGGAGACAAGAGAACACGTACTTTTTGTCCGCTCCAACCCTGCAACTCATGGCCTGACCCTTTATTCCTTCAGAAGTGTCCAACACATCTGCATTGTCTTCATCTTCGTCTTCGTCGACTTCTTCTATGCTCCCATCTTCCACAGAAAGATATGCTTCAGATACAGCTTCCAAAACCTTGAAGCACGATAGCAGATGCTCCTCGAGAATCTCCTTGGTTCCCGGAGAGTGAGGGACAAATTTGGCACAGATTGGGCACCGCCAAGTATTGGGGTTATGAGTGAGGCCGCAGGCCCAAGCGTGCTCGCTATACCGAGGGTACACCTTCTTTCTCTTTTTTTTGTTGAGACTCTCATTGGTGAAACAGTACCCGCACATCCCCTGGTCGCGGATTTTGCCAAAGGCGATGGAGTACATGTATCGCATAAGGAGAGTGTGGCACGGGTTACAACAATTGCTGTCAATGAGTTGTTGATATGGATGATGTGTGTTGGTGCATGAGATCTGGTAAGCCAGCTCTTCTTCTTGGATTGGCAAAAGTGTTTGAAGGTCAACCGGGGCTTTGTTCATACAAGCCTGACTTGAATCCACGATGATCAGCTCATCAGCGGTTTGAGGCTGATTTAAATCCAGCTTGATTGAAGTGTTTGAGATTGCCTCGACTTGTTCGAGCAGCTTGGCGTGTGCATTTTGAACACTAAACTATACAAGGGGTGAGAAAGGGGGAACAGCTGAAATATTGATGAATACTTGCAGAAGAAGTGTTGGCATGAGCAGATAACAGCTCCACCCGAGCGTCGTGAGCTTCGACGACGAGATCATCATTACAATGCTAAGGGAAAAAATAAGTAACTTTTCGAAAGAAAAGAAAAGCTGTGACAAACTTCGTCTTCTACTACATCCAAATAAGACTTGAAATTTGCCTTGACTTTAGCTTTGGCCACCATTAGTGCATCGTAGTAGGGTCGTGTAGTGGGATTCTTCTTGAAGATTTCCACGCTGGCGTCAAATGTGGATCGTTCGGTGACATATCCTTCCCAAGCCACCGAAGAGTGGAAATCACTGACAGATAAGTCTGCTTCAGTACCAAAGCGAATGGCGGTGACATCCACTGGGCGATCTGGGACCTGGTAAGTAGTCGACACCATGAGGGTCTTGGGTTGATGCCCCATGTGGTGCCTTAGATGAGCACCGTTCATCTTGCCGAGAGCGTTCCCAGCCCAGGCGTATCGAAACGAAAGCATCATGAACCAGCACCATCCAAGGTGATTTCCAACTTTTTGTATTGCTTTGGCAGCAGCAAAGTAGGTCCACGGGCCGAGGAATGTCTCCTCTGTTCGCTTTCGCTTATTTTTCGGCAGTTCCTTCAAAGGGCCGACGCGATTGTTATATGCATGCGCTGCCTTGAAGTCGGGATCACCGATGGTGACTTGCGTAAAGACGGGCAGACTCTGCTTGTTGGGGCAAATTGTGAGTTGGTAGGGCAATTGGGGGAGTTTGCTTGGATCTTCAGAAAATGCATAGACGTCTTCGACAAAGATATTGTGTTCTATGGCCATGGCAAGGAGGGTGATGATTGGGTCAAGAAGGATGTGGTGTCTACCAACACTTCTCAATGAGGTCTGCATGCTGGGTAATTCATTAGATAAAATACATTTTAAGAGGCGCGACTATATGCTTACAATTTGCCGTTGTCGTCTCGCATGTTCTTCATATGATGAAACTTGATAAAAACCTGAAACTGGAGCCCAAGTCCCGGTTCAAACCCTAAAACAATCCAATCCATGTCCTCCCACTTCAAAACTTGGCAAAAGCCAGTGTATTTTACGTTTTCGACGATACATCCTGGACGTTGACCGA